TCATTACCCTTTTCAGGCACAGGCTCCCTGGTAGGCAGTCAGACAGACCATGGCTTAGGATATAAACGGTGAACTTCCAAGAGAGCCAGCTTTTTTCTCATCTTCCTGACCTGAGACAAAATCATGACATTTAAAACAAAGTCCATGTAGCCTTTTGTCTTCCATAAGCAGTCCACCTGCTGATGGGTTAGCTTAACAGGTTCAAGGCCTGGTCAGGACAGTTACTCAATAGTTGTGGGCCAATAAACCATCCTATCTTTCTTCAAACTGACAAGCACTAAATTAGGGGAGGATATTCAGAGACTTAAAAGAAAAACAAATCAAATAAACAAACAAAAAACCAACTCAGTGTTGGAGAAGAGACTGAAAGTTTTGGCTTCCAAAGTCCCCTCTGCTTTGCTGAGAATCTTTTTTCTGTGTATCTATTGCATTTGTATATTTCCTCACTCCAATAAAAGCCTTTGTTCAACTGCTAATTCTGTCTACTGTTGTCACCAGTGTTGGGGATTTCTCTGCTGCTACCTGTTGCACTGCAGAGTTTTCTGCCATTTAATTCCTTAGCAGAGGTGTACCTCATCAAGACTCTTAGACTGCCTCACTAGGATGTGCCTTACTGAAATTCAGTTACCTTTGTTTCTTCCAAGATTCTGTGGGTAACCCTTCATTCACACTATAAATACCTCCCAAACCTCATTAGTTCACAAAGCTAGACTTAGGTTTTTTTTTTTTTTTTCATGTATCTCCAGGAAGTCATACAAGACCTAAAATGTAGTTTTCAGGGGACCATTAAGGTTGAAAGAGGAAGGCCTTTCCATTGACTTATCATATTCTGCTTAATGGTGGTTCACTGAGAAGTGGACAGAAGTTGCTGTATTTTCCCACTACACCTTCTCCAGCTAAGATGGACTACATTCTCTAAGCCGTGAGGCAGAATAAACTCTGCTCCCTTAAGTTGCTTCTTATTGGGTACTTGGCCTCAGTGAAGAAAATAACATACTGCTTTCTGACTTGGTCGTTGTCTGAAGATGAATAACAAAATTTTCAAATAAATGTATCAAATAAGAATTTTCTTATCAAGGGCATCTGAGTGTTGTGCTATTTAAACTGTCCTTTGGAGCACTGTGCTCCAAACAAGAATGTGTGCAGAGTCTATGGAATGGCTTCACATCTCTGCCTCTCTTTTCTTCTTTCTCCAAAAGTCAGCTGCATATATGCCTTGAGTCCAAAAAGATGAAGAAAAGTAGCAAGGACAATGTAGAAAGTCAGCCTTGTTGGCTTTCCCTCTAAATAAATGTTCTCAGAGGATATTACTTATCTGTCTACTTAAAAACTCTGAAAAGTACAGCAGAGAATTGACTTTTCAAATTTGAGAGATTGAATGAAATATGTAATAAATGGTAAATATTGTCATATACCTGAGAGGATGACATAAATTCTATTTTGTCTTCATTTTAGGACCAGGCCTGACTTTAAAAGAAAAGTCATCAGTACCAGGAACTTGGCAATAGGTCACCAATTCCAGATCATAAAATCCCCTATCCAAGGAATAGCCTGGAAATAACCATAAGAATGGGAAAATAACTTATCCCAGGATAGGCCATCTGTGCTGGAAACCCTTATCTCATGCTGCAGTTAAACATTCATGGCACAGGAAGGCAGCCCACAGACCACCTGATTGAAAGCCAATTAGGAATCGACCATTGTAACTTCCTTGGCACCCACCAATGAGGTTTTAGATTACGTAACACTTGCTAGTTTCCTATAAAAAAAAAAAAAACCTGTGAGCCTTTGTCTAGGTTGCCACTTTTTAAAATGGTTTGACTCTTGCATGCAAGTTTTTGCAAAATAAAACACTCTTGCCAATTGCATATGTGAATGATGGTCTCTCTGCAGTGATTTCAGACTTAACAAACCTTAGTTAAAAATCATAATTTATGAAAAAATAATAAACATAATGAAGAAAGAAAGTATGCAAACTACGGTGAATTTTTGTGCTTGAGAACTGGGGGAAAGAGGAGTATGGCAATAATTGTCTTTACATGTTTTCTTTTCTTTTTTTGTTTCTTGGAAAGTATGCTTCTTTCCTGTGATGTATGAGATCACATGTTGTTCTAATATGATGAGAGGTATAATGATGTATATGAAGTCAGCGTTGCAACAAAGTTTTGCAGATATTAATTGGCTTTGGGATTCTAAAATCAGCTGGGAGCCTGGACCAAAAATAGTTCAGAATTCTTTGGCTTACTACATAGAATGGCTATTTTTATCACCACAGAAGAGGACGTAAGCACACAAAATAGAAGTGAATAGAGACAACTTGACTGATTACAGCTCACATCTGTCTTACAAGAACATGGACAGAACAGCTGGCTTGCAATTTGCTGAGACTCAGACCTTTTTTTAAAAAGTGTATATCAAATTAGGTCTCACTATTGGCAGAATTTAGTCTCAAATAAGTATAGAGGCAATATTTGATTTATTAATTTTTTCCAAAGAAATCAAAGAGATAATTTCTCATTACCGAGTGCTGCCTGTTCAAATGAGTTCTTATTAATCCTTTGATAATCTTTATATGTTTTACTAAAAGGCATAACTTCATACAAAATTGGTTTTCAAACTTTATTTTTAATTTAAAAATATTTCCAGTTAAATTTGTTAAAAATTTTGATGCATTTTACTTTATTTTTTGCATTTAAGTTTAAAATTACACTTTACTATAAGAACATTATAAATAAAAATTTAAGAATGCTTAACAAGATTCAAAATCAATAGTCACATAGTATTATGAAAAATGTGTAGGAAGTACTATGTCATACATGTTTTAAATCATAAGTATAACACTCTTGCATAAAACATGTTTTGATGCTATGTGAAATAAACATTTGAACCATTAAAATCATTTATGGTGTGTAATTTTTTTAAATAATATCTTTTAGGTATCATTCTTGGTGAAAAATAAGGAAGGGCTAATATTCTAGGCCCTACATTTTTGTTATATGTTTATTTTGTATGTGGGGACTTTACTCAGAATTGTACCCAGAAGGAGTTGAAAATGGTTGAAGATTTATGAATTTACAGTTTGACAACTTGAGGTCTGAAATTTTGAAAATTTTGGATCAGGGCTTAAATTTGAAAGTGTCTCATTCTATGGGGACAGGACTTAGTGTACTGTTCCTGGAACTACAAATCCATGAGTCGGAGTTGGAGGGCCCTGTGATGTCTGCAGAGGTGACCAGACCCTATCACAGTACACTGTGCCCTTCTCTTTCAGGATTGTTGCTTGTCTCTTGTTTTATTCTGAAGAGTATGAATTGCATGGCTGAACTTTTTCTGCTTATATAAACATACTTTCTTCATTTAGCTGTATATTGCAAGCATTTACTCACATTGTTAAATTTCTATATGCACAAATTTTAATGTCTATGATTATTACATATATTGAATAATATTCTCATTGGAAATTTAATGTTTTTATTGATATAAGTGATGCCTTGATGAACATGTTTATCAACATATCTGACTGTTTACTCAGAATAAATTTCTGAAATTGGATTTTAGGTTTAGGGAATGACACATTTGTAAAGCTCCATAAGTTTTATTTAACTTCTTTCTGTAAATGCTGCTAATTTTAGTCTCATAATAAAATATAGCAATGTAGAATCTCAAATGATGGTTTTAAATGTAATCCTTTGTCTCCTGAGAAAATAAAAATCCACTTTCATTATACAATCTTTGTTTGTCAGCAACTTAGTTACTAGAAGCCAAAAAATATATGGATGCATGATGACACAATGCAAAGACTTTTATTCTGAAATCAGTGGGAAAAAATGTCAGCAAAAACATATACGTGAACGTGTTCTATGTATTTTTATTGCTTGGTTAACATTTTCAATTATATAGCCTATTTGTACCTTTAGTAGGATATGCTAGAATGTAAGCATATTTCTGTGACATGCACAAATGCAAAAGTTTCAAAGTGTAAAGAGAATGTGATACTTGACTCCTATATTTAAGACACATTACAGCTTGCAATTCAAGCACCAACAGCTGTCAATATGGAGATTTATATTTTAGTCAGCTGTTACTATTTGAATGACATGGTTCCACAAGGCATTGTTACTTATTAATTTTATGAATTTGTCCAGGGCAATTTTCTCCATAAGCCTTGCCTGTAAAATGAATGAAGTATTGGCATGGTGATATGGATGGAGAAGAGGCATGCAGAGAACTCTCTTCTTTTTTTTTATTTTTAACTTTTATTAATTATGCTTTATTCAGAGAACTCACTTCTCTGGTGAGAGTAGTGCACATGCCTGCCCCATATGGCCGCTAAACACCACCAGCAGTGTGGCAGGTCCTAACTGAAACTTCGTACACATGTGTAACACACATCAGTCTCACTGAAGAATGTCAACTACTTAACAGATCATTTCATGTTGAAGCAATACTATCAAAACTAGGATACCCTGTTTTCAAATAAGACATGTTATTAAAAATAATTATGATTTACTGCTTAAATATTTTTTTCTATTTAAAAAGATGTGGCTTGCATTATTTTTAATTGGGCAAACTTGCCCTAGAACATAATAGAGGCTTATTAAATATGTTTGAAAAGAATTAAAAGTAGGTTGTTTCCTCCATTGCAAAATTAGAAAATATTTCTTTTACTCTGGGGTTTTGACATTTGGCAAAGATCACTGATCTGGATGGAATAGAAAAAGCTAAGTAAGGACTATGTGTAAAATTTTATTGTTCATCTGAGGAGGGGTGAGAGTTTATAAATAGCATCCCCTCCCTCCTCCTTGCCCAATGTCTATCCCTCATGAGTTATTTTTGTTGGCTACATTAAGAACCTGACATTTGATTCATTCTCAGTGTGTCCTGCCTTGGTCCTTTGAAACAGAATGGGCAGTGAGCAAAGGTCAAAGCTGTTGTTGCTGGTTGCATATGTACAGGGCCATGACTGAAAACAAAGACTGAGGAAGATCACAATATTAAATATGGCAAAATGCTTGGTCAAGATCAGGACTCAACGAAGCCTCCATCTGCACATGATGAATCACTGCAACAGTAATGTGTTTGTCCGTCTACTGAAACATGGCTCCAAGGTCATACCTCGAAATGCTGGTACGTGCTTTGCCTTTGGCTGACTGTCATTCTCTGCCTAGATAAGTGTGACTGCTTCCAGCTACAAGCTCACTATGGTGAAGGAGTGAAGAAAGAGGGAGAAAACAGGAGGGAGAGAAGTAGAGTAGGGTACTGATGAGTGTAAACAAGTAAGTGAGAAAGGAATTGAGAAGCCAAGTTTTGTATTGCACAAGAAAATAATAAAGATTACCTTATTTATTCAGTAGATACAAGAGGAGGAGGAGGAGGGCTGTTTTGTATTCCTCCAGGTTGTTCAGTAGTGAGAGATGATGCTGATAAGGCATAATAAACAATCAGAACACCTCTCTGCTTCTCATAATGAAAGATTCTGATCTCAGGTCTGCTTCTGAGTATGAGGCAGAGCCCCAGTTTTTGTTTTTGTTTTTTTTTTTTTTTTTAAATCTGCAAAGTAGAACTTTATTAAAACAAAGTATCAGGTCCTCTCCTGGTCTCCCAGGGCTCACACACACAGAGAAACATGCACATGAGTACAATTAAAATTGAATAAAAATAATCAGCTAAATAACTACAATCAGGATGATGTTATGTCAGTTTCTTTTCCTGGTAACTATCATGTTTTATGATATTGCATGATATGAGAAAGTAAAATAGAAATTGAATAGAAAATTAAAGTCATATCCACAGCCATTATGATATTGTAGCACATATGCCTATTAAGTCAGATCATCATCCATAATGCTGCTGAAATTATATATGTTCTTGTGTGTGTGTGTTTTAGCAACTGATTATAATACAATTTATGTTGGGAAATAGCTGGAATTAGTCATAGCTGAGTAATATTTACAAAATTCACTTAGTATGAACTGTGTCTTACAAAGGTGCCTGGGAACTCACAATCCTTCTCTAACCTCGTGAATTGTGTGATTTATTTATAAAAGCATTAGGTTCCTCTTATTTTAAAAAGCACAAATGTATAGAAAATTTTATTAATTATTTATAAGTATTATTAATGCTTTCAGTAACAAGTTAGGAAAACTGAAAATACCACAAGCAGTGTTTTTTTTTTTTTTTAAAGAAATAGAATTTTTCTAGCTATAGCATTTTTTCTTTTTTTAAAATTTAATTTATTTTATTTTTAATTACACTTTATTTACTTTGTATCCCCCCTCTAGTTTCCTCCCTCCTCCCCTCCCAACCCCCCTTTCCTCCCCCTTCTCCACACATTCCCTTCCCCAAGTCCACTGGTAGGGGAGGGTTTCTTTTTCTTCATTCTGATCCTAGCCTGTTAGGTCTCATCAGGAGTGGTTGCATTGTCTTCCTCTGTGGTCTGGTAAGGATGCTCCACCCTAAGGGGGAGGTGATCAAAGAGCAAGCCAATCAGTTCATGTCAGATAGCTATAGCATTTTATAATGCATTTTAAACTCATGATTGACAAAGGAATTCCCACATTAATATGTATTAATATGAACCTTATGAAAACTGACCAAATAATATATAGAATAACTATGTAATGTAGAAAAATTATAATTATAAAATAATCACAAAATAATAATTGGAAGTCAGCATTTCTTGGTTTTTGGTCATCAAAGATAGTGATGAAAATAATTTGGAAATAGGCATTTCTCTATCATTCCTAAAAGAATATTTGTTTGGGTATAGAATGCATACTTTATGGAAATGATACAACTATCTTTAAAAGACAATAACAAAGTAGGTACGAGAATTTTTGCTCTCCATTTGACTACTAAATCTATTAGGATCATGTACGTAGCATTTGGGAGGCAAAATGCCTGGGATGTAAGTCAGTGATAGAGTCATTCCTTGTGTACTAGGTCGTAAGTTTTAGAAACCAGGGATTATAAAAAATAAGTTCCAGCTTTTTACTTTACCTGAAAACAGAAGTACAGTCTTTCTCTGTATGCATCCTTGGTTAGAATGATATATTTTTCTAGATGACACAAAGTGATTGCATAGCACCCGCAGTTTATATTAGGGTTCACTCTTGGTGTACCTTGGGTACATGCTATGAATCTGTACAGGTACATGTCAGTGCTGCATTATAAAAAAAAATTCACTAAAATCATCTTTTCTACTTTCATAATTATTGTTTTTACTAACCACTGCCAGCCATTAAAAAAAAAAAATCTCCATCATCTTTTCCAGGCAGCAACATAGTAGAAGTCAGATAAGATGCAGACTCTTCTATTTCACCCATAAATATCTAAAATTTATCCAGAACACCATTTCAACACAAAATTATATAACTTAATTGGATATATTTATTACTTTAAAATTTTTATTTTTAATTATTCCTGTAATATTTCCCCATTTATTGTTTCTGAAAATTTGTAGATAATTGTAGATAAGTTATTTCCTTGGTAGAAATCTCAAGTCCTTGCATTTTTGGAGGTAAAGATTTAATGGAAAAGGGACCTAAACAAAAGCACAGAACAGTATGGTGTTTGTTTATAATGCTCTACAAGATGGAATGATAGCTGTGAATTTAAGTTGCTCTTGAGAACAATTTACAGAGAATCATAATTGACACTGACTTAAAAATAAGATAATTTTTTTTATCTAAGATAAGTTCCAGAAGCAAATGGTGAAATTAAGTTTTCGCTTTTTACATTTTATTTTTTTAATTATTACAATTTATTCACTTTGTATCCCAGCTGTAATCTCCTCCCACATACCCTGCCAATCTCACCCAGTTTACTCTTCTCCTATGCCCCTCCCACAGTCCACTGATAGGGGAGGTCCTCCTCCCCTTCCATCTGACCCTAGTTTATCAGGGCTCATCAGGAGTGGCTGCATTGTCCTCCTCTGTAGCCTGGTACAGCTGCACTCCCTCCTAGGGTGAGATGAGCCAAGGGCCAGTCACTGAGTTCATGTTAAAGACAATCCCTGATCCCCTTACTAGGGTACGCACTTGGATACTGAGATACTCTGGGCTACATCTGAGCAAGGGGTCTAGGTTATCTCCTTGCACGGTCCTTGATTGGAGTATTGACTTTGCAAAGATCCCTGGGCCTGGATTTCTTGGTTGTGTTGGTCTCCTTGTGGAGCTCCTGTCCCTTCCAGGTCTTTCTATCTCCCGCTTCTTTTGTAAGATTCCCTGCACTCTACCCAAAGTTTGGTTATGAGTCTCAGCCTCTGCTTTGATACCCTGCAGGGTAGAGTCTTTCAGAGGCCCTCTCTGGTAGGCTCCTGTCTTGTTCCTTGTTTTCTCCCTCTTCCAATGTCCAACCCATTTTCCTTTCTGAGTGAGGACTGAACATTTTACCCAGGGTCCTCCTTCTTGCTTAGCTTCTTTTTTATTTTATTTTTAAATATTAGTTACAGTATATTAACTTTGTATCCTAGCTGTAGCCCTCTCCCTCAACCTCTCCCAACCCTACCTTCCCTCTCTCATCTCCTCCCTGCCCCTTTCCAAGTCCACTGATAGGGGAGGTCCTCCTCCCCTTCCATCCACCCTAGCTTATCAGGTTTCTTCAGGTCTGGCTGCAATGTCCTCCTCTGTGGCCTAGCAAGGAGGTTAAAGAGCCAGCCATTGAGTTCATGTCAGAAATAGTCCCTGTTCACCTTACTAGGGAACCCACTTGGATACTGAGCTACCATGGGATACCTACATCTGAGCAGGAGTTCTAGGTTATATGCATACATGTTCTTGCTTAGCTTCTTTAGGTGTACAGATTTTAGTATGGCTATCTTATATTATATTTCTAATATCCACTTATAAGTGAGTACATACCATGTGTGTCTTTCCTCTTCTGGGTCACATCACTCAAGATGATCTTTTCTAGATCCCACCATTTGCCTGCAAATTTCATCATGACCTTGTTTTTAATTGCTGAGTACTATTCCACTGTGTAAATGTACCACAATTTCTGTATCCATTCCTCCATTGAGGGACATCTGGGACCCTGAGATTTCACCTTACACCCAACATAATAGCTAAGATAAAAAACTCTAGTGATAACACATTCTGGAGAGGATGTGGAGAAAGGAGAACTCTCCTCCATTGCTGGTGGGAATGTAAACTTGTACAACCACTTTGGAAATCAATCTGATGCTTTCTCAGAAATTAGGAATAGTCTACCTCAAGATCCAGCTATGCCACTCTTACGCATATATCCAAAATATGCTTAAGTATACAATAAGGACATTTGCTCAACTATGTTCGTAGCAGCTTTATTCGTAATAAGTTTCCTTTTATATCTCTTTCCAACTCTTCCGACTGGCAGGGATTCACCTTAATAGAGTGAATTTTGCTATGATTTCTGGTTTTTCCTTCACTTGCAACATTGTCAAGATAGTCTATTTTGGTTAGTTTTGTGTGAACTTGATACAAGCTAGAGCCATTTGGGAAGTAGTACTCTACATTTAAAAAATGCCTCCATAGACTATCTTGACGATAATTAATGTGGGAGGGTCTAGCCCACTGTAGGTTGTGCTGTTCTGAACCACCACTGAGTTCTGAATTGTATAGGTACAGAGGCTAAGAAAACAATGAGAAATAAGCCAGTAAGCAGCACCCCCATACCCCTGCCCATGACTTTTTCTTCAGTTATTGACTTGAGTTCATGCTCTGAATTCTCACAGTGACAGAGTGTGACCTGAGAGTTATAAGAGAAAAGATACTCTTTGCCTTCCAAGTTGTTTTATCACAGCAATAGAAGCCCTAACTAGTACAGAGTCTTCACATTTCGAGGGTCTTTTAAGAAGCAAAATCCTTTTTCAGAAGTCCCATTTTCATGAGCTTTTCCAAATGTTGATTTCTATTTAGTCTGACTGGTACCCTGGAATTGGACCTTTCAAATGTTTTAGTATGCTAATCATAATAGCACTTAGTCCTGACATACATTAATGTATGTCCCCTTGCCTGTGATATCTTGTACAGTTATGACCTAAAATTTCTCTTAATTTATGTATAGGAAGTAAGAACATATCAATTGATGTAACTGGCTCATCAAATTAGTAAAAAGTCAAGAGTCCAGCAAAGTGATGTCAGAACTGG